ATGTAGATGTCTATGGGCCACAACAATCACTTACCATCAGGTGGACTGTGTGCTCGCTTTTCACCCTTTTCCTATAAAAAATGTGCAAAGGTATTTATAAAAGTATTATAAAAAGAGTATAGTACATTCAACATCATATCCCACATATTAGTATAAACAATAAGTAATGAGTTGGAGAGAAAAGATTTACTATCATAACTTAATCATACTTAATTCATAATTGCATTGCACATGTAAGATGTGAGCTAACCTCGAAATTATTGTTACATTACGTCAAAAATACTAAAGTGAACCCATTTTTGAAGTAGTAGGTTTTAAATAGTGTATACTTTCTCAGGTGCGTGTATCTCTTGCGAGTAGCCGCATAATCCCCATACCAAAATCTGCCGAAGAAACCATTGATTACAAAAGCAAAGAATTGTATGTAGAGAATAAAGAAAAAGACACAGCTGCATCCGACGTCACGAAGGTAACAAAAAAGTGAAAGCTTGTAGGTGAATTTTGTAAACCACATGGCTTCTTTTGCCAAGCCGTGAGGCTTCTGCTATTGCGATTGCGATTGCCAATCTGCTTACTAATGGTAGTGATGCGGAATATTTCCCGTTATGACGTATTTCATGTCCAACTATGGATACCTTTACATATCAGATTTTTACAACTTTCTCTCACTTCCCATGAACTTTTATCATAATATTAAGTGCGATGGATTCCTATATGTTGCTATGGTTAAATTACCTTTTTTAATTATAAAATTACGTCACTGGTAATTTCGGTCAGCATCGGCTGCGTGGCGCCGTGACTTAGCAATGAGTCGTGGCGCCAAGAGCCGCGGGTTCAAATCCTGTACGGAATAATTGTTTTTATGGCCTATAAATAATTGTTCCGCGTTTTTACCCTTGTGAAATGTATGCTTCCAAGATACAGGAGAAAATCCTATTTTACTGGTAACGATTTTTAAAACGAGATGAGGATAGAGAACTTGCATTGGTAACATTATGATAGTACTTCGGAATGAACAAAGTTTTTGTAATAGCATAAAAACAACCCTAACCTTATCTTTACAGATCACATTTCAACCAAAACTTGCCACATTTGAGATGGATATAATGGAATCTATGGGCATCAAAGAAGACAGAGTGCCAGTGAAATCTTATTGGTATTAAAATGAATGGAATAGTTAGTAACAAATTGCATTAAAAATGACTCTGTTGTTCTATGGTAAATAAATTTAGTTAATTTATAGATGTCTAAAAAATGTTTGATTACCTTACCTTTAGTTATAATGTATTACCTTCTGTTTATAATGTTTTAAGTACATACTCGATGTTTGAATTTCAATTACATACTAATATATTGATTTAAACGAATGAGATAGAAATATTGTTACTTGAGTAAAAATGCCGATTAGGATGAGAAATGGATGTATTCTTTCACACACACATCAAGTATATAATTACGTCGTGCAAAATCGCCAAGCTTTTACGGTGACGTAAGTCGATCACTCATAGACATTTTAAGAAGAAGAGTTCACTTATGTATTCCCAAAATAATTATCTAATCGCTGGCGCATGGTTTTTATACGCAATAAGAGGAATATATAATTTTCTAGATTAATCCATGTCTTATACGTGGTAGAGCCACGCTGCAGCTATATTATGGTTGTAGCACGAATGGGTCGGCTCGACCTGAGTAGGATCTCTCTCTCACAGACGTAAAACAGAAACTTAATGCGAGGCAAATATCGAGGCATTAATTCATCTTCGTCCTCAGGGGTGACAATTCGTCTGCTTAATCGTTTTTTTCTGCATTTGATTCTTAATCGAGGATAATGTAGATGTTGATTGGCCACAGCATCCACTTACCATCAGGTGGAAAAAAGGTCATTCCAATCTTACAGAAGGTACTAGAACACTAGCGATTACGTAAAGTTAACATACTCAACTAGCTGTTGTAAAAATATTATTTATTACACGAAGAAATCACACCAGTCAAGAACACACCATGGTTTTATTTTGTAACCTACTTTAATGGGTGTCCTTATGGTCCAATGGTCCGAAGATCTGGTTCCAGTTTCAAATACCAGTCAGAGCTAACATTTGCGCAAACAACAAACTGTTGGTTTTCAAATTTGGCATGAAGTCAGCCTGATTTAGGTATGTAGTCAGCCGTATTTAACAGTGGTAGAGCCACGCGTCAGCTTTTACTGTTGCACGTAGGGGCCGACTCGAACCGAAGTGGTACCACAACCTTACAGAATACCAGCGTGAATTAGAAACTCTGGTTCTGCGTTTCGTCTGGTCAGTGTAGGTGGACGGAGGCCTAATCTCCTCCAATGTGTGGAAGATCGTGCACCTTCCTTGTTGAACCTTCTGCTGACCTCTCATCCAGACGGATATCAAGCCTCTGTCGATGCTCTCTTGGCTCCTCGAACCATTGTCTAATCCGGAGTGTGGTTCCACTCACGCTAACATTGCGGTTGTATTCTGCAGGTTGCTGCCGTGTTTGGTCACTATAGGTCGGCTGATTGGGACACGTTGCGGTCTTTTTGTGCACCTTACCCTTGGAGGCGGGTTTGATTCTTGCCGGATGAAACATTGTTGCTGATTATGTCGCTCATGTGGTACTTTTAGGGTATGGAACTTTTTATTCCATCTTTTGTGGTACCCATCGGAGGCAGAACCCAGCCATGGTTTGGTCACTCCTGTAAAATAGCATCACACTAGAAGCAAGAACGCTACTGGGCCTGGGCTGATGCATCAACGTCCCCGGATATAAACACCAGCGCCCTTAAAAAGAATTATAAATTCGCCTCCAGGTCCATCAACAATTGCCAAGGCAAGATCAGGGCACATCGGCAGAATTGGCGAAAAACTAGTTCGCCTTCCTTCTGGAACCCGTGCCATTCTGGTCTCTCGCCAAGGCTATCCAAGAGAATTTCTGTAAGCCATCACTTCCGTCCCTGCACAGGGAGGACGACTCACTGGCCCACGCCGCAAAAGAGAAAGCCGATCTTTTAGGTTTCCTTTTTGCGTGAAACTCGACTCTCGATGACGGGGGAAAAACACCGCCGACCATCCCGCGGTGTGAGTGCTCTATACCTAAAGTGCGATTCACACACAGTTGCTCAGTACGTCTAATTTGAAGCGGAGACTGACACGGACGGAGTTGCGAAGTGTCAGTTATCTGGCCAACAAAATATGAAGCTGTTTGGCAGACGATTCTTTGGACATTTTGTGCTTCTTATGGAACTACTTTCAAAATAATTCGTAATAATGGCTTGTGATTTGAACTAAACAAATCTTTCATTTGATTGGTATATTTTGTTAATTAATCTGTGATATCTAATGGATCTCCTGAGTAGATATAGTTTTATTTAATTGATTATAAAAATAATAATAATAATATCTCAGTTTAGAGCCGTGGTAGCTCAGATGGTTAGCGCTCGCTGTAAATTTCACAGTAGGCAAGCAAACCGGGTTCGATCCCCGCCAGCACCAATGAAATTCTTAATTGCAATTTTAAGTGCTGATTTACCACATGCTCGGCGGTGAAGGAAAACATCGTGAGGAAACCTGCATGTCAGAGAAATAAGAAGAAAAAAAATATTTCGAAGACATATGAAGTTCATGCTCATTAGGGCAGCGCGGCAGACAATTCCTTGCCCTAAAACCCTCTCCGAAATGAGAGGAGGCCTGTGCCCAGCAGTGGGACGTATATAGGATGTAACTTTAACTTTTATCTCAGTTTAATAGTCAACTCAACTTAGATAATAAATTTCATTTTTTTTACTTCTCATTGTTTTGTTTTTTTTTTTTTATAAAAGAACTGTTTTATTACTGACGACTGATTGTTTCTTTTATATGTTATTTAATAGATACATACGTCAAAGTTTACTACTTAGAAGTTTATTAAAAAATTATAGACTGATAAGTCTAACAATATTTGATACATAAAAATCCATTGAAAAAATTTGTGAAAATAAATGTTTACCTTATAATACTTATTTTTTTTTTCCTAATTTATTTAAATATTGTGATTATTTGCAAAGAAAACACACAAAACTGCCAATCACGCGAGATCTCGAAATTGGCGAGATCTCGCAGTATTGTTATTTATAAACTCACGAGATTGGGACTAAAGCGAGATCTCGAGAGATTTGCATTTCCTAGTTGTAGCCACTTACCACAATAGGGACTATGAGCTCATTTGTCGTACTGTTTTTTTAATATAGCTGAAGTGACACACAAACTTTCAGTCTATGCGATCAGATTTCTAAGCATAAATTCTGTTTAGATAATTCAACAGATAAAATTTCAATTCAAATCAATTTCCCTTTCCTATGCAGTGTAACTAATAAGAGATGCAGGAAGTTAACAGATGCAGGTGGCTCAGGATTGTATGTTGTGACATTCCTTGAGGGAGTCCTATGTTTAGCGGTAGACTTGTGACACACACTTAACAAGTTATTAGTGAATCAATTGCAATCACCATAAACAAAGAACTTGCTTAAAAATGAATTAAAAAATTTGAACTTGAAAATGACAAATATTAGAACCATATTGACTACATTTTTAGAAGCGTTCTGTCAACATTTCTGTACTAGATTTAAATTCTCAATATCTGTTATTATTATTATTAAAGTTACAGCATATTTACATTCCACTGCAGGCCACAGGCTTCTCATTTTTAAGAGGGTAAATATTTTTTTGTGTCGGGTAGGATCGAACCCGGATCGCATACTGTGAAATTTACAGTGTGCGCTTGACACCTGAGCTCTTGTTATTTATTCTTAGTCAAGCAATAGGCTAATTAACTATTAACAGATCTTTGTAGATTTTACTTTGTTCACTCTCTAGCAAACCCACATCGTTAACAAAGGTTTTTAAATGGTTTTACTATTTAGAATGTTCAGCAATTAAATGTTAGAAAATAAACAAAAATTAAAGAGATTAATAATAACTTTATTTTTCTTATATAAAAATGTCGTTTATACTTAGACACTATTCACTCCACTCGTCATGTTCTTCGTTTATATTATCTGGCTCCAACATTTTTGCTAATGAAGAGTCACTATCACCCTCGACCATCCTGTTAAAAAGTGAAGTCAATAATTTCTTGTTTAGATGGTCAGTTTGAGTTATTTCCCTTACAGGTTGATCTATTAATTCTTGAGCATTGTTTTCTATTACTTTTTGTTTATTATTGTCTGAATCGGGCGCAGGCATTTTAATTACTGATTAAAAAATAAGTAAGGTTACCACAATTTTGAGAAACAAAACAAAAGGAAAATGTCAATATTTGAAAGATATTTGACAGTCCAATATTCCAATTATCAGTTTGACATTGACACGGAGTTGTTTACGTTTGCCAAACAAGGCAGGCAAAAGTCTTAAGCCATATAGCCTTCTTATGTGTAATTTTTGTTTACAAGTTAAGCTGTTGAGTACCTTAAACCATTCAACCCAATGGACTCGCTTCGCATGATTATTTCCTTCTGAGCAAGTATTGGATTTGAAAATCTTGTGCGATTTCGTCATAACAAAAATCGTTTCCGTTGTTTTAGGTGCTCTTTAAAAATGCCGATTTATGCGTTAACGCGTGCAAAAAGAATTCTAACACTTCAAATTTACAAAAATATGGAGTTACATTCCATATGTAAGTATTTTATTGTGATATATGCGTTCTTTCTATTATAATCATTTAAAATAATATCGTAAATAGTTATCGAGAACTTTACCGATAAGATAATCGAGTACACAATATTTCATAAACATCGTAGTGATAATCGAAATGTCACAAGCACACTCCCCACGAGATCAGTTATATGTTTATTTTTTTAAAGTCAACCCTTACAAGTTACAAATTAAGTTTAAAATTGAACACGCAAGCACAACGGCATTTACTTATTTATTTAAAAACTTACATGTAACACCTTAAGCTAAAGGATACATAGGGCGGACATAATGCCATGTGGCATTCTCTGCCAGTCAACCCTGGGTGCCAAGAACAATTGTTGGCAGGATGACCGTTATACATAAATAAGTGCACATACATTAAAATCTACACTAATATTATAAAGAGGAAAATTTTGTTTGTTTGTTTGAATTGAATAGGCTCTGAAACTACTGGACCGATTTGAAAAATTCTTTCACCATTAGAATCCTACATTATTCCTGATGAACATAGGCGATAGAACGTTTTCAAAAAATTTAGGGATCCGTATGAAAACTTCGTTAATGTAATCCAAGGTGTGAAAAAAATGCCAAAAAAAACCTTATATCGCGTACGCTGCGGAAACTATTGACAATAGAGCAAAGTGATGTGCTACAGTTTTATGGAGGACATCAATATCTACATAAAAGTCTGCAATACCATATGTGTAACTATTATAGTTATCTCACAATAACTACTTTTCCATGTTAAAATATTCAATAGTATCGTCGAAAAATCCTTATATCGCGTACACTGCCAGCACCATGCGATGCGGGTGTCACTGGGGTGTGGGAGGGGAGTCTATGTCAAAAAATAATTTAATTTTGCAAATTTTTTAGCTTAAATGATTGAACTAAATGAGCGAGGTGTCATATCATGTCGCGCGGCAGAGCCGCGTGATATACGCGGGTGAAACCGCGGGGTACAGCTAGTATACATATAAATACACAATATATTGAAATATACACACATATAGTATAAATATACATACAATAATACATGCTTATAAACTGCGCAAATAAATATCCAAATGAATGATATATATAATATAATGTTTGAATAATATATAATGATATAAATTTTGAAGTAAAAAAAGAAGAAAAGAAAGACAAGAATTAAGGAAAAATAATGTCAATTAGTAGTTACCTTCAGGTAATGTTCTCGGAGAAAAACTTTGAAAACTTTTTTTATTTGTGGCATTCTTAATATCGTTGGGGAGGATGTTCCAAAGTTGTATAGCTTGTATCGTAAAAGACAACCTAAAAAAAACCTAAAATTTAACCTTATGCTGTGGAAACCTTAACCTCAGACGGTTTGACTGTCGGGATGTTCAACCGTCGATCGGATGAAAAAAAAAGAAAATTATCCTGATAAGAAGGCGACCTTGGATCATTTCAAATTGAATAAAGTACAAGTAAAATTCTAGAGCATCACCTTTGACGTATAGGTAGCCATTTAAGCTTTGAACGATAGGATGATATGTGGTCATACTACGTAAACCAAAAATAAACCTTATGGAATTATAAGAAGGCGCTCCAACTTGTTTAGAAGATTTTCTGACAAATCTGGGTAACATACATCGGCATAGTCGATAATAGGTAGAATGAGGGATTGAACCAGCGAAAGCTTTGTTTTGAAAGGTAGGAAATTTTAAGACGATAAAGGGAACGCAAGGTAGCAACAACTTTACACGGCTAACTTCAGAGAATTTTTTATGGAATCACAATATGGAATCAAACTTCCATTATAAATTACACGAGGGAGATTTCCATAATCAACCTTAGCCTATAATTGCGAACTTCCGAATATTATAACTTTGCATTTGGCAGGATTAACAGAAACGCCATATTTACGTGACCATTCTCTTATAGCTTCCAGGTTATCATTTAGTTTGTGTATTACAAAGTTAAGATTATTTAAGCTTGACTGTACATAAAGCTAGAGATCATCCGCATACAGATGGTACGAACAATCTAAAACTGAGGAGATAGAATTTATAAATAAGGAAAACATAATAGGAGAAAGAATTCCGCCTTGCGGCACACCAGATTCAATTTCAGCCCATGCAGAAAACCGCTGACCTGAGCGAACTGATTGCTGGCGACCGCGAATATAAGAAGGCTATAGGCATTCTTTACGAGACTATTTTATATTAGCAATATATAAACAATAAAAGTGTAAGCCTGGAGCGGGCGCGCCTTATAAAATAACGTAAATGGTCGCGTGGATTACGTATGTAGCCCAATTGAAAATAAGAAGAAAGCTTTAAAATATTAATTAAAATGTATTTTTATTTTATTACAAATATGAAACAGGATAACATTTAGTCATCAACATCATCATCATTACAGCCCTTCACAAGTCCATTGCTAAACATAGGCCTCCCCCAAGGTATGCCACAAAGCACGGTCCTGAGCCACCCTGCATCCATCGACCTCCTGCATGTCTCACCAGGTCGTCACTCTATCTAGTGGGGGATCGCCCTACACTTCCCCTACCGGTACGAGATTGCCACTCGAGAACCTTTTTTCCCCAACGGTTGTCGGTTCATCGAGCTATATGGCCGGCCCATTGCCACTTCAGCTTACTAATCCATTGGGCTACGTCGGTCACAAGCCATAGCCATAGCCCCCTCCTTAGCTCAGCGAGCTATGGAGAGGGCTATGCTCGGTGTTCATTTGCATGATAAACATAGAAATGAGGATATCTGCAGAAGAACCAGAGTGACCGACATAGCCCAACATTTATTTATTTATTTATTTAATATTCTTTATTGCACACCATATATAAAAAAAAATTAATAATTATATGTATACAAAAGAAGTATGTAATGGGCGGTCTTATTGCTGATAGCAATTTCTTCCAGACAACCAGTGCATGGACAGGATTACACAAAAATTACAAGGGTAGGGCACATTGGTGTGATAAAAAAAGAATACACGTTTTATATATATATATATATATATATATATATATATATAACAAAACATACATAGACTACAAACATTTAAACATACAAAAAATATATATTTAATTATTTAACTAAATGCAATCAATATACTACATATATATTATTATTATATTAAACGACTAGTGTGGGAGCGAAGTGCAAGGTAATGGTTCTTTACTAGTTTTTTAAAAACCGGTAGGGATGGAGCGCGTTTGACTGCCAATGGGAGTTCATTCCATAAACGAACGGCCTGTACAGTAAAAGACTTGTTCATAAATTTACTAGTATGTAGTGGCATATACAATTTCAAGTTCTCTGCTGATCTCAGGTTACGCGAATGGGAATCACGAAGAAACACAAACCGATTTTTGAGGTAAGAAGGGTAAGAAGGATTAAAGAGAATACTATAGAGAAGATGAAGTATGTGAGCATTCCGATGAAGACGTATCGACAACCACTTGAGCTTAGTACGAAAAAGAGAGACATGGTCATATTTACGTAATCCAAATATAAACCTTATACAGAAATTCTGAATTCGCTCAAGTTTATCAAGCTGAGCTTCGGTGAGATCTAGATAGCTGACGTCCGCATAGTCGAAAATAGGGAAAAGAAGGGACTTGGCAAGCACAGTTTTGGTGTATATTGGAAGAAAGTTACGTAATCTACGCAAGGAGGCTGCAGAGGCATAAACTTTACGGTGGATCTCTTTGATTTGATGGTCCCATGACAGATTTTTATCTATGTGAATTCCCAAGTTCTTCACTGAATCTCTGTAAGGGATATTAGTTTTATCAAATACAATTTGGGGTAGGTGATCAACTGATAACTTATTCAGCATTTGCGCGCTACCGATGATAATGGTTTGTGATTTAGCTGGGTTAACGTGAAGGCCGTATGCTTTACTCCACTCGAGAATTCGTTCGAGATCTGCATTAATGACATTGATAGCATTGGGGAGATCGTTGGGACAAGCTTTAGTATATATTTGCAGATCATCTGCGTAGGTGGTAGGAAGAGGTTAAATTATTAGATATTGAGTTTATAAAAACTGCAAAAAGTAAAGGAGATAAAACGCCTCCCTGCGGCAAACCACATACATTACACCATGATGATAATGTATCATCGGTGCGTATACGTTGCTGGCGCCCAGACAGGTAACTTCGAAACCAACCAATCGCTGTTGGAGATACGTTAAGAGAGCGCATTATACCAAGTAGGACATCATGGTCAACGATATTAAAGGCATTATTGAAATCTAATAAACAAAGAACAGTTACTTCGCCGCGTTCCATTCCTAATCGGATGTCATCGGTAATGTTCACCAATGCTGTGGTAGTACTGTGTCCAGGTCGAAATCCTGACTGTAAAGGATTAAGGAGAGAATTAGCACAAAGAAAGCTGTTGAACTGGATATAAACAAGGCGTTCAAGGACTTTTGATAAGAAGGGCAGTAAAGAGATGGGACGATATTCAGAAAAGGACGCAGGATTAATTTTCTTTGGGATAGGAATAACTTCAGCATTTTTCCAAGATGATGGAAAACTATTTGTAGAAATGGAGAAG